AATTTGAAGAGTTGAGAACTGTTCTAAATAAAACACAATTCAATTACGCACACTACTTAGGAATTCAAGACATTCTTAGCCAAATCAAAATAAACGCTGACCTTTTATTGCATTTTTTATCAGAACTTGAAAACGCTATAAGCTTCGCTAACTTAAAAGTTTTACATCACAGCATTATTTCTCCTGATGAATTAAAATCCGTAATATCTCAATTACATCAGTCACATAGCGAATCTCAACTACTATTTTCTTTGTCAGATTACCTAAAATATTACGACATTGTTCGAACCAGTGTTTTCTACTCGAATAGGAAAATAATATTTTCGCTCGATTTTCCGTTAGTTCATTCCGAAACCTTTGACTATTACCACCTATATTCTATTCCAAACCAAAACCAGTCAATCATTATACCTCCCTCGACATACCTATCCTTAAGCAACAATGAATACCAGTACTCAGATGAAGAATGTACCGAGCTACAGCCAGGATTCCTCTGCAAGAAGAACCACCTACTACCACTTCGACAAAACCCCGATTGTATCACGTCACTGCTTTCTGTCGAAAACAGCATTCAAAATTGCCAACAAGTCCCAGTACGAGTATCTCAACACATCATAGAAGAAATCAATGAAAGCCACTACATAGGAATATTTCCCGAAAACGAAAAGATACAGATTTTCTGCGAAGAAAACGACGTTGCCATACTTCGTGGAAGCTACCTATTCATAGTCCCGCCAGATTGTGGAATCAAGACATCGGAATACACGTACAAAAACGAAAAAGGCCTAATAGTAGGACATCCAATGACGCTAGAAGAAATTCGTGAAACCAACATTCCAATACTACAAGTCAAGACACTTAAGCTAGAAAAAGTATCTCTTGACAAGTTGCACGAACTTCAACTGCAAGAGTTAGAAGAAGCACCATTACAAGAAGTTAGAATTCATTCCGATCATTCAAGATGGTCCTTAACAGTCACCCTATTCCTGGTTACCACGATGTTAGTCTACTTATTAGCCACCCACCGAAGAAAGATAGCAAGCCTAGCCAAACGAGTAGTCTGTTCCACGCCAGAAGAAGACACTAGGGTAGCAGTCAACGCAACTCAAGTGGTTCCACCCTCGAGTTCCTTCTAAGGGTGGAGGAATTATGTATGGGAACATCATAAGCTACCATGTTCTCACGGGATATGCTGAGACCGCTGACGGATGCAGAATCAGTTTACGCTTTGCAGGAAACGAGACGTTCACCGACTAGTTCTCATCAGATTTGACATAGACTTCACACAGTAAAGACGCATTGTAATTTTCTCTCTAATAAAACTTCGATATTTTTGTGTTCAATAAATAAATTCATTTTTTAAAAAGCTTTTGGTGATAACCAAAAACATAAAGGACCCACTTCTAATGAAAACAACCCTGTATCTTACTTGATGGTGGGGTAAGGATCCTGAAATTTGCTGGAGCGAGAGATATACCAAAAATGCACTCTATGACCAAGTGGGGTCATCTTCAGTGAAATACACTGCTCGCCAACAGCCATGCCCAGCCAACCATGAGATGTATAAGTGATGTATACGCCACATCTCTTTGTGACATGCGATATCGCATTTGAAGTCACAAACATGTTACCGATACAACGTAGCGATGTGAAAATGTCCGACTCAAGCAACATCACAGTGACGTCGTTCAGACATGAAATGCGACATCACATGAAAAATCACTGCCAGGTCACATACAAGTGTACATTTCATATTACAAATACATCACACTGCGACATCGATGATGTGATCGCCGTACCTGTGATATTCGTGGGATATATAATAATAATTATTCAACTTTACGAAGAAAATGTTCATTTTCCGAAAGTGAAAACAGAAGACACAAAACTTATCATGACAATCACCCTAATTAGTAATCTTGAAGTAAAACATGACACATATACAGGGTGTTTCATAATTGAATGCTGATCCTTAAGGGCGATAATCCTTGGATGATTCCAAAGAGAAAAGTTCATATCAACATATGTCCTAAACCTCTTAGTTATTGAGCTACAGGGTGATGAAATTTCAAGAAAAAAATGAGTTTTTCATCATAATTTCTTATCACTCTTAGATATTGTTATGATATTTTGTATACACCTTTTCATTATTAAGGAGCATTTTTTTACGTGAAAGATATTCAAAAATTCTCACAAGTGGCGTCCGTACGGGGTTTGAACTGACAATTTTTGAAGAAAAAGATAGTACGCCACTGATTTTTCTGAGAACCAGATTTTTTTTTCAATTCTTATTCATTTCGGAGCAAATTTGGTTCCTAGACTTACTTTCATACAACGTACCGTTTTCGGGTAAAAAAATAAAAACCAAAGAATTTTGTTCCTTCAGTTCTTGGATATTGTTTTTGGTAATTCAGTAGACACCCACTATAAGTGGAAACACATTTTGTTTTGGGACGAAAATCAAACTTTTACTTTTACCAGTGATCTCGTAGACCTGATATTGAATGTTTAGTTTAAAAAAACGCTGTACGCTTCTCATTCCAACACCCTGTAGCTCAAAAACTAAGAGGTTCAGGACATATGTTGATATGAACTTCTCTCCTTAAAATCATTCAAGGATCATCGCCCTTTAGGATCAGCATTCAATTATGAAACACCCTGTATATAGCAATACAAATATACATTATTCATAAATGATACATATCAAATACACTTACATTATCTTTGGATCTTTCATCCACCTTGTTTTAGATTGCAATATTCATATCTCAGAGATAATTACAATATTACCTATTGTGATTGAACTCACCGTCGTTCCTAAATGATTGTGAAGCTGCTATAATATGTGCTATAAATCATCTCAAATATTTCAACAGAGAATTTGGAAGGAAATAGTCTGTACGGAGTCGGACTCACTCACTGACTGACTGACTGACTGACTGACTGACATGGCCATGCACAGCTCAACATGGCGTCTGGCGTGTGCGTTCGTTTAGGGCATGTCTGCGTCACACTCACAGGTCACAAAGATATCTCATGAGGATATCAATGTGAATTATTTAGTTAACGTCGAAGAGATGTAGTTTGAAGAAGTCGCTGCCACATTATATAGTTTCCTGGTTGCGATGACACCTGGCGACGTTGATATCGAATCTACGTCGATAAGATATGTTAACGAGATATTGCATTTATGCAAGGTTGTTACATCACACAGATGTTGATGTCACACGATGGTTGGCTGGGTGGAACCACCCCAATTTCCGGAAAATGATATTAGGAGTCAAAATAGGTTGAAAATCACTTATAATTCGGAATCAGGACGGCCATGAATACTAGGTATTCATGGTTTTCCTAGAAAATTTTCAGTTCAGAAAAATTGAATTTTGCCTCACTTCTCATGGAAGCACCCCCTTATCTCACGTAATTATTGAGGTAGGGTCCTGATTCCGAATCTGAAGTGATTTTCGACCTATTTTGACTCCTAATAACATTTTCCGGAAATTGGGGTGGTTCCATGACTCTTGGCGAGCAGTGTATATCACTGAAGATGACCCCCACTTGGTCATAGAGTGCATTTTTGGTATATTTCTCGTTCCAGCAAATTTCAGGATCCCTACCCAACGATTTTTTTTTATCGCTCGAAGCGCACGAAAGGCAAACCCTATAATGTTCAAAGAACATCGTGCGTTCCTAGGGTGGATAGGGACAGGAGGTAGGTATTGGAATTTTTTTGAACTTTTGGAGATTGTATGTTGTTGGGAATACTTCCACAGGCAATGAATTCCAGAGCCTAGCCGTTCTATGGATGAAGGAGTCTTGATAAAGTGCTGTTCGACATCTTTCGAGGTGGACAACGAAAGGATGTGCTGACTGGGCTTGTCTAGTTCGTCTGATTGGTATTGCTAGTGAAGGGATGATAGCAGAGATTTCCGAAGAACATTTCCCGTGGAAGTATCGATAGAAAAGTGAAAGGTCGCCGACCTACAGTGTTCCAATGATGTCAAAGAGTGAGTGAGTGTGGCGTCACCTACCAGGCGAATGGCTCTTCTCTGGATGGAATCTAAGAGCATCAGCGTATGTTTTGGTGCTGAACCCCATATGTGAGAACAGTATTCTAGAACAGGCCGTATCTGCGCTTTGTAGATCATGAGAAGCTGTTGAGGTGTAAAGTAGCTTTTCGCACGGAACAAGAATCCGAGTTTTTGTGAAGCAGCTTTTGCGATGGATCTGACATGATTATCCCATGAAAGAGTGTTGCTGATGGAAATACCGAGCATAGATATGGTGGGCTTGGTGGGGATGGTGGAGCCAGACATTACAATATCGGGCATACTGAGTTCCGCCTTTCTAGAGAAAATGCAGGCTTGAGTTTTGGTGGCGTTGAATTCAACTAGGTTGTTGGTTCCTCAGGCTGTGATTTCAGCAAGATCTTCATTGACATCATTGACCTGCCTGCGCCGTGAGTTCTTAGTTTCCTGGGAAGAAATGGGAATTCTGGAAGAGAACGCAGTATGGAGGGTACTATCATCTGCAAAGCTGTGGATGGGGCAAGTTGTTACTCCCAACAGATCATTGATATGAAGCAGGAATAATGTTGGTGCCAAAATTGATCCTTGTGGAACGCCGGAATTGATGCCAATGGTATCAGACGATACACCGTCCACCACCACGTGAAGCGATCTGCCTGAAAGAAAACTCGATAAGAGATGGCATAGATGAGGTGGTAAGCCGTATGATGGTAGTTTGTGGAGGAGTCCTTCGTGCCAAACACGGTCGAATGCTTTCGATATGTCCAACGCGACAGCTAGAGATTCCCCGTGTTTTTCTATTGAAGATTGCCATAAATGGGTGACGGTGTATCGAAAATAAAACAGGGCCTAAGATTGACCCTTGTGGTACTCCAAAGCTCAATATTTCCATATTTACAAATCAGAAAAATCAGATTATTTTATTTTTTCGAAAAATTCGCGACTTTTTGCAACTAGATTAATTTCACTCACCCAAGATTCGTGATAGAGCGCCGTGATCAGGTACATGGCGTAATCGTAATTCTGCTTCCTGAGCGGACACCTATCGGCCACTATGGTAACCATATCTGCGGCCGCCTCGTATCTGTCGCCAATCAGACGCAAGAACTTGTCTCTGGCTCGCTCGTCCAAACGCAACGAGGACAACCGGAAACGCACGGATACTATCCTCGACAGGGGGTCTCTTATCGACGGGGACGAGTGGCAGTAATCACTGGAGATCACCTGGATAGAATAGTAGATTGTTTAATTAGGATCAAAAATGACACGGCTTGGCTAAACGCTCCGCCTCGGAAATGCAAAATTCGCTTGTCAAACAAAGTCACTTTGGATCCGAATAAAACATGCTATTTTTTTGCAACCGAAACAAAGGGAAAGTTTTCTTCAGATGAATTTTTATAAAATAAGTTCGGAACTCTCCAGTGTTTTATGTCCACGCTGTACAGAATGGAGACCGATAAAGTCCAATTCGTTTTCATTAACAAATTAAAGCAGTCTGAAAATAGCTGATGGTGAAGAATATAGCTAGCGTATAGCTAGCGAATAGCTAACTAATAGCTAACGAATAGCTAACGGATGAAAAAAATAGAAGAAGTGAAACTGGTAAACAAAAACATACATAACCACAAATGCACTCGGAGCAGGAATGCAGAGGGTAGTTGGCTTCATTCTGACAGGTTATTTTTTGTCATTTAGGCATTGAAATATCTTGAAAAAAGCTCGATTCTAAACGAAAATATCATTGAATCAATGAATCTTTATCGGCTACATCCAATGATACTATCCTTCCTAATTTACTGCCATCGGTCAGAAGAGAAAGAAGCCGACACCCATGGCTCCTTCCTCTAGTTGTGCCTGTCAGTATTTTGAGTGGTGTGGACGGACTCGAAGTATTAGGCGCTGTTGCAAGATATAATCTACAACTTTCCTAGAAAATAGATAAGGAACGAATTCATTAGCAAGAAAATGACTGACAATTTAGGAATACCGCAAAATATCATAATTTATCTTCGTTAGTAATCAACTCTGCATTCAACCAATGAGAGATTTATGGGAATTATTCATAATACTTGAGAATGTAGGATTGAAGAACCTATTATATCCCATTGCTGTTATGATATAGTTATTATGCATTCAAATAACAATTTCCGGAAATCTAGACATATTGATGATGTCGGCAACGTCGTACTGGTACAGGGAATCGTATTCTTAACTCTATGTGAAAGTGGATTTTCAGAAAGTATCTACGTCATAGGAATGGTGGAGGAGCCAAGTTCCTCTTTTATTTTTTTTTTCTCAAGTGAATTTTGATCTTACGAGAAAAAGAAAAATACGTATATATTATTTTTTTACAAACTTCAATGTGAGATAAAATCTTCAATATGGGAAACTTCCCCATTAACTCAAATAAATATGTGAAGTAACCACCAATGCCGTGCCATATGTATGCAAGGCAACAAATAATCCATGTGGTGAAATATTCTTCCTGCATTAACAGCAGGTTAGTGAGCATATCAACAATAATAATAGAGATTATTTATTTATCTCCATACATTACTGTGTTTGGCTTGATAATCGAATGGACGTGAATAATATCGTTGTTTGGGACAAAACACTATTGCTGGTCGTGATTATTCAAAAACAAGCTATCCATCCCGAGAATGACGAATGAAATACAGATCAAGCAAGTATTTGAATCTTGAAGGCTTCCCTGATCAAAACAAAAATACTTAGCTGAGATGTTTATAATTCCTATACTCAATTATAATAAGGTGTAATTATATCTCCAGCATGGGTATGAAATGCCAAATCTGCCGAAATCGGAAACAAATCAGGTATGAGTCCCAACCCAAATAACCAACCATAACAATGTTGGTTTTCTGCAACCGACACAAAAGTCGTCCATTTTGATACCAAAATTAGATCTTAAATTGACGTTTCTATTACTGACACAAAAATGGGTATGTTGCTAGGCAACATATTTAGTTCCTAGGAGCTAAAGTTGAATTTTAGTTCCTAGGAGCTAAAGTTGAACTTTAGCTCCTAGGAACTAAAAAGGATCTACTGGACGTCATCAAGAATAAACAACATTGTGACGGTTGGTTATTTGGGTTGAGATGCATACCTAATTTGTTTCCGATTTTGGCATATTTGTCATTTCATACCCATGCTGGAGATATAAATACACCTTATTATAGTTTAGAATTGGAATTATAAACATCTCAGTTAAGTATTTTCGTTTTGATCAGGGAAGCCTTCAAAATTCAAATACTTGCTTGATCTGTATTTCATTCGTTATTCTCGGGATGGATAACTTGTTTTTGAATAGTCACAGCAAGCAATAGTTTTTTTATCTCAAACAACGATATTGTTTAGCTTCATTTGATTATCAAGTCAAACACAGTGTAGTATGCCAGTATGGAGAGGAATAAAAAATAATCACTATTATCATTGTTGATATGCCGAGTGATATGCTCACTAACCTAAAATTTTCCACGTCTTGTTCCTATAGCTGGTACTGGCGCGGTATTTGCCATTAGAGCACCTGGTCCATACACAAATATGTCACTCTGTGGTTGTATTAATATATTGAAACTACAATTCGAACATCCTAGAAAACCTAACCTGCTGTTAATGCAGGTAAAATAGAATATTCTCACCACATGGATTATTTGTCAATATTTATTGTAGCATTGCATACATATGGCACGGAATTGGTGGTTACTTCACATTTTTATTTGAGTTAATTGTTTCGGTTGCAGAAAAAATAGCATGTTTCAGTCGGATCAAAAGTGACTTTGTTAGACTCGCAAATTTTGCTTTCGCTCGGCTTCGCTAAACGCTCCGCCTCGCAAATGCAAAATTCGCTTGTCAAACAAAGTGTTACTTTTGATCCTAATAAAACAATCTATTATTATTCTTGATGACGTCTAGTACATCCTTTTGCAACTTTAGCTCCTAGGAATGAATGAATCGCGGTGTCTATGTCTAATGTTATCAAGTCTAGGGGTACTAACCTCGATAGGAAAATGCCTCTCGCAGCTCTCATCTTTCTCCAACCCCTTCGGCCACTTTGTGCAGAACCTCTTCAGTGCCTCGCACTGCCTCTTGATCGCCGGCGGCGTCAGATGCAGGAAATTGGGGATCTTGAGCAACTCGGCATTGGCGTACTTGTCAGGGGGGGCGCCCTTCTCCACGTACCCCTGACGTACGGGCAACGGGACCGAGGCAGGATGGAACGTCCTTGGACCGGGCCAGACGTCCGGCCAGGGCTGGTCGACGCGCATCCGGTTCGTCCTGGAACGCAGGGTTGGCATGAATTAATTCATATGAATTAAATCAGTGATTTAATTCGTGAATTAATTCCATTGACTTTTTTCGAAAAAGTCATGATTTCATTCAAATTTTAAAAAATGAGACAAATTGCACTATTACCTTTGATTTTAACTAGTTTAAACTGAAAAATTCGATCGTATTTTGGCAAGACTGTTATTTCAAGCATGACAGAGATTTTTACTAACAGATATATACAGTATCAAGTATCATTCATAAAGTCCATAAAATATGAGAATAGGTTTATTATCACAGCATCGAATTTTTTTCTCTCGGCGATCCATTATGCATATCCGATAACTTGAAAATCGATTTGACACATGTCACGTGATCACTGGTATGGTGATAAATAAAAATAATACTATAAAGCGACGGAAAGTGGGGTTAGATAACAAAATATCCATAAACATTCCTTATTAAATTGCTATTCCACATTCAGTTTCGAGCAATTTTTGGACGAGAATTGGAAATAGCTATATTTTTTCGAATATTCTTCAATTTTGTTACAATTCTCTTTTTTTTTCTGACAGTAGTGATGTTGATGATGTACAAGTTGAATAGAATTCAATTTCATGCTCACATATGGAGTTTTCAGCCATTATTTGAGAAAACTGAAAATAGCTATTTTTATTTTTTTTAAATAACTTCGTCTTCCCATCTAACCCCACTTTTTGCCATCGTAATTTTTTGAATTTACCGCCATACCAGTGATCAAGTGACATGTGTCAAAATCGACTTTCAAGTAGTCAGTCATGCATAATAGATCCCCAAGAAAAAATGTTTCGATATTCTACTAATGAACTTTTTCTCCATGTGTTACGAACTTTATGGATGATACTGGATTTATATAATGTCTATTATTTTGTATTCTATCATCACTTTTAATTTTGTTTTGAATAAATGACATGTTATATTATGATGTTACTCTACAAGATTTCTGAAGGGAATAAAAACATAGTTTTTTCTGTGACGGGAAAAAAGTTTGGCATTTCATCTCTGTTGGCAGGTTATAAAATGTCACTTTTCAGAAATTACTTTTTTCCCGTGGGAAAAAAGTGAGTACTTCTTTCCCGGATATATATCACATATATATACTCTGTTAATGGCTTTTGTTGTGCTATAGTTCCCAAAAATAAGTCAATAATACCGTCTCCGAGAAAGAACTGCAAGTCCTTTTATCTTCCATTCGACTCCGCGGTTTCGTATATTACTAAACAACTACTGAATTCGCAATTTTTTAAAATCAAATCACAGAATTGAACTGACAGAAGTGACATCAGATATTTGATTACTTCAAAAGAATGATGAAGATGTCTATAAAACGCAGGTGTCCCTACTGTTGAAAACTTGAAATTTCACGTCGATAATTTTCAGATTTCGAAATAATGTAATATCTTCCCAATATTGATTCGTCCTTCCTTCTGTCACAGAAAAAAATAGTGTATTATACACGGGAAAAATATTAGATTTTAGCTCACGGTTTTTTGTCTCCCTCCGCTACGCGTCGGGAGACAACACAACCTGGAGCTAAAATCTACTACTTTTTTCCCTTGTATAATAAATAACTATTTTTTGTTTCTTTTTTTCTATTTCGCTTTGGGTAAATGAAATTTGTTTTTTTGTCAAATGAATTAATTGAAAAAAGTCTGTCTTAATTCAAAAATTCGGACTTTTATGACTTTTTTATAAAAGTCATGACTTATTCCAACCCTGCTGGAACGTGTAATAGTATATTACGTAATATGTATAGTTATATCGAAAAAAGTGAAATTTTGGAATCTCTATTTTTTTTGCTCCGTTATTATTAGAGATACAGGAAATCTGAAAATACTTTTTCATAGCAACTTTTGATGACGTTTAATGTGGTGATACCGATTTTCCTATGCGACGTTTCGTATTCGTAGAACCATCATCAACTTTTGTTTTTTAAATACGGCCCTGATAATTCTTTCACAGATTCTGAAAGCTTTTTTCATTCTGAATTCAACCATGTATTATACAAGGTAGTTTGAAAGTGTTTCGAACTATTTTTAGCCATCATCAATGTTTTTTTTCGAAATTCCAAAGGAAAAATGCCATCAGTTCCACTTATTTTGAAGGAAAATTAGCCAACAAACTAATACCATCAACTAGTTCCGATTGATAGACTTATAGAAATAATTAGTTCGAAAAATTTAATTATGACAAGCTCCTTCGGATTAAAATATGAATACAATTCATAAACAATTCGAAGCGCTGCATCGAATAATTTGGTGGATCTTTTTTTCACATTTCAGTATTGAATAACTAGTCCATCAATGTTTGACACTGAATAATCAGAAATAAGTGAAACTGATGGCATTTTTCCTTTGGAATTTCGAAAAAAACATTGATGATGGCTAAAAATAGTTCGAAACACATTCAAACTACCTTGTATAATACATGGTTGAATTCAGAATAAAAAAAAGCTTTCAGAATCTGTGAAAGAATTATCAGGGCCGTATTTGAAAAACAAAAGTTGGTGATGGTTCTACGAATACGAAACGTCGCATAGAAAAATCGGTATCACCACGTTAAACGTCTTCAAAAGTTGCTATGAAAAAGTATTTTCAGTTTTTCTGTATCTCTAATTATAACGAAAAAAAAAAAAAAATAGATATTCCAAAATTTCACTTTTTTCGATATAACTGGAGAACTTAAAACAATTTTGAAAATTTTCGAAGGCTGTTGGTATGAGCCTCCGAATGCGCAACTTTTTCCCCATTCAACCGACTTCGTATCTCCTACCGTTTCCGAGATCCCCATGCTGTGCAACCTTATCTTGGACAGACTGTATACTAGGTATATGTGCACCCAAACGTGAAAAATACCAACCGTCAAGTTAATGTTAGTCATGGTTAATTTCACATGTTAATCTTAATTTTTATATTACTAAACTATATAGAGGGCTATATGGAATAGGTCCATTTTCCTTATTCATTACTCTATTACTATTCTTAAATATCTCTAAGCTTCCATATGCGTCTAATTTTCTAATATAATTAACTTGCTCAACTAATTTGAGGTTAGTAATATGTGTGTAATGATATTTTAAGATAGTTCCTAATGAAATCCTAATTTCAAAACTATCATTAAACATCCATGCATCCAAATTACCAGTTCTTTATACTGGATTATTATCATTATTGCTATTAATATTGTCAAGAAGAACAAATGCCTATGGAATAACATCACTCAAACTCTCGTTCATTTCAATATCTTCAATCAGAAAATAAGTTTTCCAGATTAAAACATCCAGTACAGTGTAGTTTCGTCCCGGCCGCGATTTTACTAAATATACTGCACGCTAGCACAAACCACGCCCACCATAATACGTCATATCTCCAAACATTACCGATATACCTACTCGGAGTCAGCACATCGCACTAAATATACTGTGCTCCAACGCAAGAATACACTTTTTATGATTTTGACACGAATTCGACTGAAGCTCTCTCGTTATCAATCTCTTGTACGCAGTAAATTCATATACCCAAATGGTCTACTGGTTAGCGCTGTCGACTTTCAGTCTGAAGGTCCATGGTTCGAATCGCTGTGAAATGAACTTTTTTTTGCAACTTTTTTTTTTACCAATGTTTTTTTACTTCATTCTGGTCTTCCTTTTTCATAAAATATTTGAAGTCAAATAGGTTAGTGCGTTCAGGATAAACAGTCTCATTTTATTCAATTTTGTTGAAGACCTCAACTTTTGAAATATATTATTAATCAATGTGTTTCTACACTCCATTCGGTTTTCCTTCCCCAAAAATATTGCAATCAGGGATAGGTTAGTTCGTTGAGGATAAATAGTCTCTGAGTTTTGCCTAAGTAAAGTACCTTGAAGATGAGATATAACGGTGGGCGTGGTATGTGCTAGCGTACAGTATATTTAGTAAAATCGCGTCCCGGCCAGCGGAGTTCATAGACTTCAGATCCTGAATATTTGTTAACCAATTACCATGCGAAACTACCTAGGTAAACAATACCGCCAGGTAACGACCATTCCCATTGCGGAAAATTGCAAATCCAGCATTGATTTCAAATATAAATAGTACCCGGATCGATAAGGCATCGGTTAATTATTAATTCACTCATGATTCAATAACTCCAATTCATTTATTCCTCATTCATTTCATACTCGGTGTTTGATTTTCGAAATTGAGTTCGTAATTCACCAGTTGTTGTCAAAATGTTCGCCGTCTCCCCGATTTCGATCCTGCTAGACATCATAATGTAATAGTATATTACATAACTAGTGTGGAAAGTGACATATTTCGAGCGAATGGACGTTTAGCTCGGCGAGTGCGGAAACAAAACGAGCGCAGGAAATGCACTTTCCAACGAGTTTTGTACACTATTTTTCCTACGACCACAAATATTCATATTATATGTCATGAGTGTTTATAAGACCAGAGTAGGGATCATGTTTCTGATAATATTCGATCACATGAAGGTGATATCATTATCATTATTATTTAATTTTACTTCAATATTTAAAACAAGTTAAGTGCCACAATGGTAGGAAAAAATTTGTGTCACCTGGCCAACTTTTTTTTCTCTTAATTTGCTAAATAATTGTTATTGAGAAGTCAAAATGTGAAAAAAATGATGTTAGAAGAATTTAGATGATCTAAAAACATGTTTTTGAAAATGTTTCCACGTTGGATACACGTGGCCAATATATATTAGTAATATTGTACCCGCGTGTATCCAATGCAGATACATTAGCGCTGCATTGGCATTCTCGAGGTGAAAATCAACCTCCACAACATTATTTAGAGAGGAACACCAGGGTTTTGGCAGAAAACGAGGTTGGTGTGTCAACTGCTATAAGAAAAAGAGTGAAGAGGTCGGAAGAAAATTGGCTACTAAATATACGACACGTAACATGTCAAAAATATTATTGCTTATCTTGTTTGTTTGAAATTCACAATTGTTTTATAGCCAAAAATATGCGTGTGTACGTTTTTTTCACTTTATATAATTTCAGAATTTGGATTCTTTCGCAATAAACTTTTCTGCATATGATGTGTGTACCTATTCATAAAACCGTCTGTAAAAAAAACGAGAAAAAAAATCCGCAGGCCAACCGGTTTTTTGGGTACCCCAGGCCACTATATAAAAGCTCCCATAAGAATTCGTGCAAAGTGTGGATCCGATACCGCTACATACGGCCAGGAATATAAAAACCAGCATGTATCCATGGTGGATACACGTGGCCACTAAAATGTTGTGGCATGTGTAATCATGTTGGAGACACGTGGCACTCAACGTGTTTGACATCATAAGTTCAACGTTAACTTAACATTAACTCAACATTGACTTAACATCAACTTAACATCCACTTAACATCAACTTAACATAAATTTAACAGTTTCTTAACATTAACTTGAAATTAACTTAACATTAACTCAACATCAACTCAACATTAACTTAAAATTAACCTAACATTGACTTAACATCAACTTAACATTAAATTAATAATTATTCAACATTTACTCAACATTAAATCAACATGACATTACTATAAAATCAAATTAACATCAAGTCAATATCAAATTGACATTAACTTCACATTAGTCACAAAATTGCCAATACATTGACATTAATTCAACTTTCAATTGAAATTAACTTGATTTCAACTTTTCATCAACTCAACATCACGTCATCATCAACGACAATAACTCATGTTAAATCGACACTAACTTTCCATTAACTTGACCATAACTTAACTTACCATAATTCAGCATAATAATCATTCATTGGCACATCATATTCTATAGTAACAGGGTCTGTGCGATTTTCGAATATTTCCACCCATGTGAGTTTTACTTTCGAACTTTCTAACTAGTATATGTTGTCATAGTGAAACGAGTCACTTTCTCAATAACAAATCAAAGTGTTTTGTGCTGTTTTCATAGGTGGTCGTAGGAAAATACTATTTTTTCATGTGTTCTCTCTGAATTATTTTGTGTTGTTTTATTCACTATGGTTTTTCTCTGATAACCTGCCACGTGGCAGCATTCACGATGTTCTTTTATAAAAAATATCATAATATAGGTACTTACTCATAAATTTTATGTTAAATGTTAAATTATTATCTAGATTTTAGATGAACTCGAGGGTAAAGTAATGTTGTATTACCTACCTAATTCATATGAGTAATGTATATACAGTCGATTTCCAATTCACATGTCCCTGATGAAAATATATAGCAGTTCAACAATGGACAACTTCCAAATCATCCTTCTAGTCATTTTGAAATCATTAATTATTAAGAAATGATAGAATACCTTGTTAATATGTGATTGAAACGAGTTTTTATCCATAAAAATACAAGATAAACTGTATCATGAGACTTGAAGAACAAATAATATAATACAAAAATGGAAAACAGAAACACAACTGCTAGTAACTGTACATTTTATTTAAGAAGGAACATATCACACACTATCACCGGAACACCAGGGAAAACTAGAAAAATCACTCGAAAAATATTAATCCACGAATAGCACGAATTGGTTATGAATTCATCAAAATCAAAAACAGCTGTTCCGCCAACGCAAGGTTGGCAGAACCACGTAAAACGATAATTTGTATTACATTAGTTCTACCAACCTTGGAGCTGGCGCCCCCTTCAGGGAAACTAGTGACTCTTGCATAGGCCGCGTGAAGTGATTTGGATCGACTTGCAAATTTTGCTTTCGCTGGGCTTCGCTAAACGCTCCGCCTCGCAAATGCAAAATCCGCTTGTCAAACAAATTGTCACTTTTGATCCTAATAAAACAATCTACTATTTTTTGCCCAGGCAGTATTTTTTCCTAGACTTTTCCTGCCTAGGCAGTAAAAGCCAAGGTTAAAGTTCAGGTAAAAGTACACCTTTTCTGTCTGTTAAGTGTCATTGAAAAGCCACTCTTAATGTCATTTGGAGAAAAATTACTATGGCTGTTACATACAAAAATTCAATAAACCCATCTAAATCTATCTATCTATCCCATTACCTATGTCATTTTGTTGACCATTTTGTGGCAGTTTAAAAACAAAATTTGAATCTGATATTAGATAGATCATACTGCATGTTATTTCATATGCTCAGAACATGTGATGGTTTTTTTTTTAAATTTTTTTTTGTTACCTATGTATTTTTGTCTGAAAAACATTAATTTGATAATGAAAATGTGAACAAACCACTATTTATCATGATATTTCAAGAAAAAGTTCAAAATTTCATCTTTTTTTTCCTTCTTTGGGAAGCATTTACAACTTACTCTTCTTATTTTGTTATTGGACACTTTATACCTATACTTATGATGTACTTCAATGACATATTTTCAAATAGAATAGTCAACACAAAATGTGGTTGTTCTGGTGAAATTTTCATATTTGGTAAACAATCATACCAGAGGATGCCATTTAATCAATTATCAGTCCAAATACAAGATGTCAAATGTCAACAGATTGCTTTTGATCACTTTGAATGACAATAGACATGCTAATCACATACCATTATTTTAAATGATATTGTTTGTTCCTTCTTTTCTAATGGTCAGTTCATAGAAATAACTTATATTTAATTTATATTCAATTTTAACTTATCTCAAGAGTTCATACATTCCTTTCACTAAAATGCCTTCATAAAATCTCATTTAACAAATATTTAATTTAGTACATTCCTTATGGGAAATAGAGCTGTTAAATTGAATTAAATATAAATTAAATATAAATGAGATTCTATGAACTGACCATATATATTGATAAATCACAAGGAAAGCATATTGCTAGTTGACTTTAATGTATAAAAATATGTGTCATCCAATTACATTGTGATATATACTCTGTGATATATAAATTGTCCAATGATGAAAAAAGAAGCTCAAATTGTTCTAAATGCAATCCAAAAGACAGGCAGAAAAGAAGGTGAAATTTGTAACATTAAAATGAAATATCTCAATAAATAATGGTTTGTTCACATTTTCATTATTAAATTCATGTTTTTCAAACAAAAATACATAGGTAACAAAAAACAAATTCGCAGAAAAACCGCATGATAAGTGCAAAATTACCAAAAATATCTACCCCAATCCCCAATGATTAATGATTAATGAATTTACCTTGGTGGTAATACTGCAATCTGCTTAGGTGGTCTTCTCTGCTGTACTTGGCCTTTGACTGATTTCAAATTCAATACCCTGAATTCATCTGAAAATAAAATCAAATGATTATCCACACATATTTTCACGAAACAAACTGATCTCCATTCAAGAATGTACCTTGGGACATAAAATATAATATAAATCGAAAAAATATATAATGCACTCTGGAAGCATTTAATTTATTACTCACCATTTTTTTCTACTCTTCCATCCGTTGCATAGGAGGATAATCGTAAAACTCGAAAATCCAAATGCTTTATAGTATTTCTTGAGGAATTTAACATTTTAATAATATTATGAAATGATTTTCTTTCAGAAGTTTGTCTCGATCGTGTAACTTTGTACAAAAAAGTTAGGTTAGGTCGAAAACGTCAAAATTATTAGTAGTGCCTCAAAACCGACTACCGTCCAATAGTAAAAAAACTGGAGTTGTTTAGTATGAATGTCTCTCGCCAGTTGTTCAATTCCTACTTTTATTATTCGGCTTAGATAGCCTAGATTAGGGTCCCTCGATGGGAATTGACTGAGATGAATTGACGTTAAAGTCATCTTAACGAGGGGTACAGACAGATCATAGCGACAAGAGACTTTAGTTTTGTCTACTGTAAGTCTACTGGCAGTACTGGCATCCCTGACATTGCTGTCACGTCACATCCATAGGCGCTACAGAAAATCATTCTAAATTTTAATAATAATAAGGTATGTTTTGTTAATCTGTGGTACAGGGTATTTACTTGTTGAGGAAGATCATATTGCGAACAAGTTTTGTGATTATGATCCGATTCTATTCAAAATTGGAAGATATCTGGGGTTTTCCGGGGTTGGAGATAATGATTGTTTCGTCAAACTTGGAAAATTGAAAATGATGGATCCAATATACGTATAGCGAAAGAAATTTCTAATTATGATCTGATTCTATTTAAGATTGATATGAGGGTTTTCGGGGTCGAACTTTTTGTCAAGATTGGGAAAATCAAGATAGCGGATTCAATATTACGAACGAAATTTGTAATTATAATCCGATTCTATTAATCAATCAAAATTGGTATCTGGGGATTTCCGGGGTCGGGGATTATAATTATTTCGTCAGAATTGGGATATTCAAGATGGCGGATCCAATATGGTAGCCGAGTTTTGTAATGAAGATCCGATGCTATACAGAATTTTTTAAACAGTCCACTCCAAATGTTCATAGAACGTCCCTAGAATATTTGTATCGCTAAAGTGTTTCGAAATTCGACCGAGAATGCTTAACGTGTCGTGATAGCCCTCGTGTTGGCATAATTACTGAGATAGGGACATATGGTCTTCAAGTGTTCAGTTTTCGAGATACAGGGTGTTGAAATTGGGAAATAAAAATAGTTTTTTCACGATAACTCAAGAATGATTGAATATTTCTGTATTTCGTCCTCCTCCTACCTCCTTTCCTATCACCTTATCAGAGATAAGTTACCCACTACCTTGTCTTTTTTCTTTTTTCTATCTTCTCTTCTTCTTTCTTTTCTTGTTCTTTATTTTCGAACGAAGAAGATGAAAACGACAATCGAACACCAGAGTTTTCATAAAACAATAAACTCTATGAATTTTACAAGTTTGTAAATAATAAGTGTTTTATATTTATTTATTTGAAATTTGTATGCATGATGACAACAAAACTTTAACAATCGAACTACTTGAACAACTGGAGCTCGAAATAATATAGTGGGTATCTTATTTATAGTCGTCCCCGATCACTAGAATAAAAAATCGAATATCCCGCAATGATACATTTATAGCAGGTCTTTAAAGGTAAGGATGTTTTCATTAATTAATCTTGAATTCACCATTTTCATGTTCAGATTAATTAATGAAAACATCCTGTAACACATTTGATTGCCAACGTTACCAATTGTCAATGAAAACTGTAAAGCTTCAAGACAGATACGACTTTGCTATTGAAATAATCATTGCTTATGTTGAAAACGGGAGCAGAATCGGTCCCGAAATGTCCAAAGATAAGTGAAAATTTGATATTTTTTCTATATACCTTTATTTCTCTTCTCCAAACTTTTTTCAATACAAATTGTCACTGACAAGCTCTGATAGGAAAATTCTTCAAACGCAGTGACATTTTGGGGCAAATCATCTGATTTGTCCTTACTACACGTATATTGAAATAATATTCATTTTTATTTTATAGAAACGAGGAGAGAAAATCCCAAAAAATTTTGAATAATGTATAAAAAATCGGTTTGGTTAGTGGTAGAACAGTCTAGTCGAGAGTCTAGTGTATTATCGGGCCAAAGGTTCCAGTCTCTATATTTGTTTTTCTACAATCATGCAAAAAGCAGAACTTTATTGAACTATATTTAGTGGAAAAAGAAGTTCTTTATTGCACTTAGTGCAATAAAGTTTTTATTGCACTCATCTGTCATTCTACTTCAACGTACTGTCATCATGACAAACATTTTTTATATTCATATTGAAAATTGCACCAATGGGGGAGACCACTTTTGAATCGACATTATCGTGAACTCTATACTGTGAAACTACCAGTGAATTTATTCTGAATTTTTTCATTAATGCTAAGACGATGAAAAAAATAAATAAGAATATGTCCATTTCAAAACACACAATTCCTACGCCATTTGAAATTTTGTCAATTCATTGGTGTGACTGGTGCGACGTCTTAGTCCCAACACGCCTATTGTCCTTGAACTGACCAATCACACTGCAACACTGCAGAATGACGAGGTATCAGAGAGAGATAGCTACAGTTCGGGACTAATACGTCACGGCTCCACCATTATATTTGGTTTTTTGAAATATCGAATGAAATATGCTGATTTCAAAACGATATAGATTCGATTTCCTTCAACTTCAACTCATAATATTGATTGTACATAAAACGTAAATCATGATTCGTCGATTGTAAGAGGTTTGCATGGATTTCTTTCCTCAGTGGTCTTCCCCACATTCACTTTCAACATTGAGGGTAAAAATAAAGTTTGAGTTAAATTGTTCGTAACGGATTAGTTCCTGTTTCAATGCAAATCAATATTAATAATAAAGTATTCAAGTTGCGTTTTTCATTTTCCTACACCTAGTGCCGCACCTCAATAAATCATTTTTTGCTTTTTGCATGAACGTAGAAAAAATGTTGCATGCAACTCGTGCAATAAACATTCACTTTTTGCACTTGTTGCATAAATAACTATTATAAGTATATGGTCTTTGCACTGATGCGCTTTTGTTTTGCCCAAATTATGCAATGTATCAGGCCTGTGCCAGTGTTGTTCATACAATTATTATAGAAACATAATGATGAACATCATAATGCACTCAGGAACTTTATTCAGTCAAGTCTTCTTTCTCTATTTTAACAGATCGTTGCAAGTCCATGAATTGCAGTTCATGATATTCTAATTCAATTTTACATTCAGCTTTGATAGGAGTATCCACTGACGAAAAATTGACCATACCATTTTCGAGTTTCACGATATCAGGGCACGATATATCATTCACGCTCACTTTGTCCTCCATTTTGTCATGAAACTGATACCTGCCTGAAGAATTCACAGCTGTACTTGTTTGATATGACGAATCAACAACGACTGGTTTCTGACTAGAATCTTGAGCCAAATTCTTCCCAGAACTCACCTTATGCATTTTATTGTTATGCCTGTCCAAAAAAGAATGTAGCTTGAATCTCTTCGAACACATAGTGCATTGGAATGATTTCTTTTCACTGTGTATAACTTGAATGTGTTTAATCAAATTGTTCTTAGTGAGAAAGCGTCTTGAACAATTACCACATCCGAACGGTTGCTTGTGCACTGCTCTTTCGTGTCTATCGATGTGTCTATCCAAAAGTTCTTTAGATAGGAATTTACAGGGGCAATGACTACATTTAAATCTTTCTGCAGTGTGCACCAATCTCACGTGCCTGGGCAAATGTCCTTTGAAATATTTCTTGCAAATATGACATTTGAATTTTTTCTCCCCAGTGTGCACTCGTATGTGCTTGTTCAAATCTCCCCTATACAAGAATTTTTTCTGGCAAATCTCACATTGGTATGGACTGATTGTATGTTCCTCGTCTTCCCATACAATTGGATTCTTTTCTTGGTGAACTTTCAAGTGCCTAGACAAACTATACCTATATGGATATTTTTTCTGACAAATGTCACATTTGAATGATTTCTTACTGGTGTGCAATCTCATGTGATTGAGCAAATCGCATTTATGTCTGAATTTTTTTTGGCAGATATCACATATAAACGGTTTCTCTCCCGCGTGCATTTTTATGTGTCTGGTGAAATGTCCCTTAGCAGTGAAAGTTTTCTGACAAATATTGCATTTGAATGGTTCCTTATTTGATTTTCCCTTGGTAGGGATTTTTTTATGGCTAATGGATTTCTCAGAAGGTTCATCGTCAATACATTCGGATGTTTTTTTGATTGTTTGCATTTTATCGGCAAGCAAATATTCAGTATTCTGATTAGCCAAATCGATTTTTTTACCTCATTTGTGGCAATTGTCTCCTATCAAAACCATCGAGAAAATCATCCAGAAACAGAGACTGTAAAGATTTTCCTTCGGTTCGGGGTGGTATAAAACCTGAAAAGAAAAATAAAAGTATTTCATTGGATGGCAATAAGCGCCTATTCACCAATAAATAGGTCAAGTAATTTGGAGACAATGAAATTCAGGGAAGAAAACGTTACCAGTGCCGAGGAATCTATAGCGATGTGACGTCACAGCGTAGCGCTATTCAAATCAGAAGTATTGTTCTAGCGTTCTTACAATTAATAACTAGGTACCCAATAAACATGAATCCTTCCCAGACAACCATCGTGTGACATCAACATCTGTGTGATGTAACAACCTTGCGTAAATGCAATATCTCGTTAACACATCTTATCGACGTAGATTCGATATCAACGTCGCAAGGTGACATCGCAACCAGGGAACTATGTAATGTGGCAGCGACTTCTTCAAACTACATCTCTTCGACGCTTACTAAACAATTCACATTGATATCCTCATGAGATATCTTTGTGACCTGTGAGTGTGACGCAGACATGCGCAAAACGAACGCACACGCCAGACGCCATGTTGAGCTGTGCATGGCCATGTCAGTCAGTCATTGAGTGAGTCCGACTCCGTACAGACTATTTCCTTCCAAATTATCTGTTGTATTGTAATATCTGAGATGATTTATAACACATATTATAGCAGCTTCAAATTGGAGGTATACAATCATTTAGGAACGACAGTGAGTTCAATCACAGTAGGTAATATTGTAATTATCTCTGAGATAGGAATATTGCAATCTAAAACAAGGTGGATGAAAGATCCCAAGATAATG